CCTCAGAGGAACGAGGCTGAAAATGCAATTTAGCACACACACACACACACAGTTAGAGTGTAGTGGTATTGTCTATCATTAGGCCAGAATTGAAGTCATTTAGTGTTCTTCAGATTATCTGTGATTAGGCTATGATTATACTACACATGCCAGTGGCTCTAAATCAGCTCAACAGGGAGATAAAAACCTTGGGGAAGACCGAGACAGAAAAAGAAGGATAGAGAGAGCACACATGTAGACGACGAAGGTAGAAATGTATTCTCAGTGTGAGCACAATGAGAAATATGTTAATCTTCCATTTGAATCAACACCTCTCTAACACAGTTTCAACAAAAACTGCAGATAGGTGTCCTCAATAAACTGCCAACGGAGTCTGAGTGTGTAATAACTCAACAAATCCCCTTGATTTGTGAAATAATGCAGTTACTGTAAGCAAAGAAACACAAATATCAAACCTCGGGATATGTTCTAGCTTATCCAGGTCACTCTAGTAAACAGCTTTAGTCAGACCTTGCCGCTGGCAACAACTGAGCACTGAAACAAATTACATGGAGAGACATCATAGATGTTTATTAGGTGAATACAGAACAGTAAATGGCCTTTCTGAGTGATAAATGTTTTGAATGTGTTTTGTTGACTTTTAAATGCCAGATACCTTTGAGACTTCTAAGACCAGTTCTTCTATTTCCAGCAATCCTCTGTTTATTTTAATGGAATATGATGGTCATATTTTCTGTCCATCAGTCTTATTCATCCATCCATCCTGCTTTTCTGGTCTGATCTGTCAGCAGTAATTTAATTTGTAAAATACTGTAATATTCCTGGTTTGTTGTATCAATCATTATGTCTATTCATCATCTATCCCTCACCATTTTGTATCAATCCATCCTGAATTCCTACTGAACTATAATCCTCTCTGTGTGCATGTGTAAGTCACAAGACATTTACAATACATGTATATTTTCATATGCTTGTGCAACTGCAATGTTTGCACTTGTATTTTCAGATGGCACAGTACTTTGCATTCATTATACTACACCTTTTTATACTTTCATGAATTTAATTGCAAGCCAAATTAAAGCAAAGTTTATTTTACATTAAAATACTCCCTTTCAAACAGTCTGGCTAATATTAGCTACAGTATGTTTAATCTTCCTCTAATTGCCTTATGTAAATACACACTGAGGAGTTTAAATGTGCATTACAGCCTCCGTTTTCTGGCCACTGCTGCACTTAAATGCTCATTTAGATTGGGAACATTTAGATTGACTTTACCTCAGTTGTATACATTCTGTGTTTCCCCCAAGCTGCTATTGAACTTTGCGTACAAGGACAACAGTGGCCTTCATGTATATTTACACAGTACAGCAACCAAAAGTATGTATCAACATTACCAAACTGGACATGTCTTGACTACTCAATTTATGCAGTTAAAAAGCATCGATATAATCCAGAGGCATAACTAGCCCAAGAAAAAGGAGGATTTTTAAAAACAGTAGGGAAAACTGAGGCCTAATACCACAGCAAAACAAGCATAATATCAATGAATAATGTAGAAATACACTCAAGGCAGTATTATACCTACTCACATTATACATGGAACAACTACAGAGACTGCAGGCAAACAGTACATTAAACTAATGCTGTACACGTCTCTCTGCTCTGTGTGAAGCTATTCAAGGCAGGTCTGCAAAAAACCTTCTATTTTCTTAACTTTGCATCACTAACATATTTCATTTTTAGCCTTTCTAGACATGGATCTGTTGAAGATGTCAGTCTGTCTACCACTTTGGTCCAGACTAACAGCTATTGACTGGATTACTTTGGAACTTACATACAGACATTCATGGTTCCCAGAGGATGAACAGTAATGACACTGGTACCATTAATGTGGTATACACATTCATGTCACCATCAGGATCAACTGAATTAAATGTGCTGATCCTTTGACTTTTCATCCAATGCCATCAACAGGTCAAAAGCTTATTGTCCTATATTTCTTTAATCACCAAATAGCTGCACAACTGATGATTAATGTTTTAGTGCAACTTAAATTTATACATGCTAATATATTAAACTAAGATTGTGAATAAACAATATACCTGCTAAAACTCGGCATCCTAGCAGTGTAAGAATGTCAGCATGTTAAAGTTAGAGCTTCTACTCTCTGACCACAGTTTTTACTTCCAGTATCTCAGCAACAGAATTAGAAAATGGCAACACTCATCAGCAAAACACTTCAGTCTGCAACTGTTCAAGAGCCTCAACTTTCTTAAACCTTGATCAAGTTGGGGATGCATATAGGTTATTCATGTGCAGCTGTGCATCTGCAAGGTTTACTGTTAACATTAAGAAGATGTGTGCTCCTTCAGCTCCTTTCTTTCTCCTGTCTTACAGACTTTACAATCAAACATCCTTTATTTTTTCCTGTTCAGGTGCTGAGGAACATCTACATCTCCCTGCAGACTGATAGAGGCTAAAGCCTCAGTTTACAGGAGCAAAAAGTGAAAATTAAGCCCATGATGAGATACTGTGACATCTAATCTGTCTGTGATGTAGGCTGCAGTGTTGTGGTCTGTTTTCTGCTCCTCTGACTAAAAAAACTGGTCTGGCTTGCTCTTCACAGTGGATTTCACACTGTATAAATTCTGAATATACTGTAAGTACAAAAAGTACAACAGTGGCTACTATGAACAGAAGCCCTTGTTCTTTTACAATGATACACAAGCTTGATGCGAGCGCTGATCTTGGTAATTGCCAGGGGTTTTCTACTCTCAGTGGAGTTTCTGGACTTTTTTTTACATTTGGTTATTGACTGTATCTTTTAAAAACAATACAGCAACAGCAAACTAAAAATGCAAGGTCCATTCATGGTTCCTTTATGGCCTCTACAAACTCTGGGCTGACCCGTCTCCACTCCTCTACCCCCATAAACAGTAAGAAGCCATTTCAAAACATGCTGTGAGTGTCATGCTGTTAATATCAAAAAGCAATTAGATGCTCAGTGACTTTACATCCCTGTGGGTAGCCATTGGACACGCTGACTTCCTTGAATCTCATGACATAAACCCCTGCACTTCCTAAAGCTAACATGTCACCTGAGTGCCATCTGTGGCTGTTAAAATATGTATTTCTCCTGTGTTGTCAATGAGCACCATCTCCATAGTGAGCATGGGTGAAGCTCAGTCTGAAACCAGCAGCTGGGATCCCAACACCTCTGCACTCTTAACTTATTATGCTGCTGTGGTTTATAGCCCGTGCATGACGAGTGTGCTGCTGGGTCAGGTACAGTAGATAAGCAGAGAGATAGTGAGGCCACAGAGAATGAGAGTTAGCAAAACAGACAAACCAAAGGAAGAGAGGGAAAATGAGAGTGACACAGCAGAAGACACTGATTTTATCAACAGAAAGCTTATACATTAGGCCAATAGTGTTTTATCCCTCTGTTATGATGGAAGTTATTCCCTGCCCATGAGAACAGATGGTAAAACCAGCAGAGAATTTTTAATTTTAATGCAATTTTCACATTTCCAGCATTGTTAAAAAATGTATTGTTAATTTAGTCAAAGTACTAGAGACTTTTGTCTATTGCTGATTGGGTGTGATCCTGGTAACCCTGAAAGTATTTCAGAACTACATCAGCCTGGGCTTCAGTGGAGCCTTCTAGTATTGAATGATGGTCTAAATATTGTCTGAGTCTTTAACAGATTGACAGAAATTGAAGTGGGAGTAACAAAGCATCAGCACTGGTTTGAGTCTTCAAAACCACCTCATCAGTCAAGCACAAGTAGAAACAGCAGAGGAGTTAAAGAATCACCTGAAGAAGCAGAGAGAAAGAAAAGAGCAGCAGGACAGGGTGTAGATGCAGGAGAAGAACAAAGAAGCTTTGTAATTACAGTAAGATGGAGTGGGTGGGCAAAGATCCAAGTAGAAGAAAGGAGGAGAAGAGAAGCTGATAGGAAAGAGCAGAAAGAGACACCAGGAAGAAAAGAGCAAAGAGCAGAGATATACAGTAAGTCAGGAGGAGTGGACGGAGTGGTAGCAGCAGACCCGAGTCAGAAACAACAGGAAGGAGGAGACGCTGCAGAGGAGAGACACAGCAAGAAAGAAACAGATTCATACAGTTTGAAGGAGCTATAGATGTTTTTTTCTCCATCTCTGATTTGATATTTCTCTGTCTGCTCTCAGGGGACAGGTGCCCCCACAATCCCAGCTGACTTCCAATGCTTTATTACAGGATTGGTAGGAAATGAAAGCTGCAAAGGCAGTTTCTGCTTCATTTCTCCACCACAGAGGTCAAATAATTAAACCAGCAGCCTCTCAGTCTTGTGGTGTCTTTTCCAGCCTTCACAGGTTGCACACTGGCTGATCTGTGTGAGTGTGTTAGCACAAACATGGCTAAGTCCCAGGATGCTTATTGTGCATCAAAATAATCAAAGCCATGTTGTTATTTTTGCACACAGTGGTAGAGCTAGATTCTAACTCATTTGTAGTTGAAAAAATTTAGCCTGAACTTTGGAGAACAGAGAGCGTCTCGAAGCGTTTTTACCTGGAGCAACAGATTCTATCCTTATACAAAGCTCCTGAACTAGGGAATGACCGACTTAAACCTGATAATCAGTAAGGAGATAATTCAAATGTGACAAATTAAATCAAATAAAGGAAGAATTCTCACAGTTTACTTACTCCCAAATAGCGGGAAAATAAATCGCCATTCACACCAAACTAATTCAACTCGTTATGTCGCCTTTTTACAACCGGGTGCCAATGCGCAACAGAGACGCGCGGTTCATTTACAAGAAGAAAAAAAAATCCTTGCACTGTACCCGCATTAATACAGCAAGCAAATAGACACACATCTGAATATAACTAGGACTTGTGTTTTCCAGGCTGTCTGGCAAAAGGATGAAGCCACTGTTAAATCTTCCTCTCCAGGTCTGCGCTGCCCGGACTCTCTCCGTCTCCTCCGGGAAAAGTATAAAAGCGCACAGCCTGCTCACCTTCTGCAATTGCCCCGTACGAGCTGAGGAGGAGCAGGGCGACCTGAGTGATAATTCCAGTGACTCTTTTACTCCCTAAATCCATTATGATGATGCGGTGGGAGGCTGCAGAGAAGCCCGACGGCTGCTGGAGGGAGACAGGTCTAACCTCTCCTCTCCAGCTCAAACAGAGACCTCCTCCAACTGAAGGAAGAGAGGGGGAGGCTGCGGTTTGGGGTGGGGGTGTCACTGAAGTCTGGAGCACAGTTTTGTCTGTTGTTTGATAGGGCAGCGAGCAGCACTGTGGTGGAAGTATAAGGAATTACGCACAGGCTCTCCCGCACAAAACTTAGTTGTGAATAAATCTGAGTTAATTAGGAACTTCATTTCAATTTCAGTTACAAACGAAACAAGCATCACGACCCTCCTGAAGAGAAATCACGTTGAAGCGGCGGGTACCAAAAGCGAGTCGAGTTCAGTAGAGGCCAGTAGAGTTGAGCTGGCACCAGCGATGGAAGCGGGGCTTTTGAGATCTTTGCTGAATGCTGCAATCTGCAACCTCAGCACAAGATGTCACCAAATCCCACACACTGCACCTTTAAAAATGGCAACACTTCAAACTAAACTTCTCCCCAGTCCTGCATTAAGTTTCATGGCGATGTAACACATTCTAAGTGGTTACCATTTCACATAATGCTCTCCTCATTAGAAACGCCACTATTCTTTGGCCCAAGGCTTCCACCCTGTAATTTTCTTATACAGAGACACCTTTTCTTGCCATTTTTGTTACAGAACTTCACTACTCACATTCACATACAATACTCACTGATATAACCATGTTTTATGCTCAATAAAATATTGAAAATTGTTTGCATTCGAACAGTCACCTCACAAACATACATTTATTTTAGAATAAATGGGGGTTACGTGGTTGTGGCTCAGGAGGTAAAACGGTCTTTCCCCAACCACAAGGTTGGAGGTTTGATTCCTGTTCTTCCTACACATGTTTACACATCCTTGGGCAAGACAGAGTGCCTTCAAGCAGCATTTGCAAGGCCAGCGTCACTGTTGGTTTTGCAGATGGCTGCTTCAGTTCTGTGTGTAACATGCTTGGCCAATAAAAGTGATTAGCATTAGAAGGAATGCAAGTATAAATATTGTGGAACAGCAAGAAAAAATGGCAAAATACAGCCCATTTTCATGCAGGTCATGAACATGGCTCTGTAAGCTCAGATGCCCCCTTTCAGTGAACATGATGTG